GATGGATTAGCCAAGTGGTAGCATCGATGAACTCAAGCGTGGCAACAGTAGTGAGGTTGGCCCAGGATCAGGCAGTGTTTCATTCTGCTGTGCATAGGGTCACTATGGGTCGGTACCAACTTGATGGCACCTAACAACAATAACAACTGAACTCACTATGTCTACTTTATTGGTAACTGTAATGCATGATTAATGTTTTCTTCTGAAGGACAGTTGGCTGGCTCACAGAGTCAACTGAATTCCTGCCATTCCTTACACTTGCATATTTGGATCCTTCCTTTCATTCTGCACCACGGTAGGAAACTTCTTTCCACCACCAGATGAAACATGCAGTAACAGTGAAACCAAAGATGGTGTTCAAATTTCAGGCTGTTCTGCCAACCATCACCACATGACTGACCTGTGGTCTTCTTCTCCATACATATCATGTGGTCACTTGATGGTTTACACCCTTTGCTACTTTGTTGTTGTTAGGTACCATTGAGTTAGTTCCGACTCAGAGTGACCCTATGTACACCAAAAGGAAACACTGCCTGGTCTAGCACTCACCTTACAATCATTTTGATGTTGGAGCCTATTACTATTGCCACTGTGTCAATCCATCTCAATGGGGGTCTTCCTGTTTTACACTGACCACCCACTTGACCAAGCATGTTGGTTGGTGTTTAGTGCTCTAGAAACTCTTTCCTGTTGTTGTTAGGTGCTGTTGAGTTGGTTCTGATTTATAGCAACTGTATGTACAACAGACTCTTACACTGACCAAAAGACTTCAACATGCCCTCACCCTGAGATCCCACCCTGCTTGCCATACACACACACTTTCGTCCAGTTCAGCTCACTGTTGCTTTGGCCCTGGGTGTAGTCCCCTTGTGAGCCTGCATTTTACAGTTTCTTCTCTGGGCCTTTAAAGCATCATCGCTGTTGTGACCTTGTTGCATGAACCTCACTTCTTCATGAGGCTTCACCCCGTCCATCCACAACACCCACACAACCCCTTTATGTCAAAATGCAGATTGTGTGTTTGATATTTCACATGAATCCTAGTGTGCTCACGAGTCCCAATGCATTGCATTGATGTTACCTGGTTGTGTTTGATGTCTTCAGCGGGCGCACCATATGAATTCCTATACAAAGTTGAAATTCCAGTATTCTGAGCTGAAAGTCAAAGGGAAACAAGAAAATATTAGCCATGAGAGCAAGACTGCAAATGAGAAGTCACTCATGGTTATCAAGGCACGTTCTTGACCTCCCAAAGCTTGGTTCCTGGTGGGCCATGCCGAGTGGAAGCAATTTCTCAGCCCTGAACACTTAATTTTACATACAGATTGGAAGAAAGAAGAACAGTTATTCTAGAAAATCCCTGTGGCGCGTCAGCCTCTGGTCATAATGTGGGCCTTGCAGACAGGGTCAGGGCAGGTGGGACAAACAGATGGTAATCTTACAAGTTTTATTGCCTTTGTTACTGATGGAAGCTGGCGGGTAATAAAAGCTTGTCACCTGCACTGAAGCATGTGGGAAGCTGCATCCACTTAGTTTTTAGCTGAATGATGACAAGAACAAATTTCTAATATGAGCTCACAAAGTGCTTGATCATCTTTCAGACAGTTCATTTCTCAAAGGTCCAACACAGGAGCAGGAAGCACCCTCTGAATCTCTCCTTTGTGCCTGGAGGCTGTGGTTTTGGAATCCTGTTAAGTTCAGAAATAGGACCCCTGCTCCCGTCTCCTGACCGGCCTCTGGTCTGATGGAAAGGAAGAAGAGAAGGACTTGATACCAGCTTCCACGGAACTCGACAGTAGTGTCTTACGACCCAATTTTTCGCCTGAAACCTTTGAGACTTAGATGATGGGACCTGGAAGAAGGATCCAAAATCACACAGCTGCTAAATGGCCATGGACTTCTAATGGAAACTCTGTAAAACCTTTTCTAAACAAGAAGGACTTTAGCATTTTGTTTTAGCATTTGTGGGAGACACCATCTGTCTCTCAGTGTGTTGTACTGTGGTGGCGCACAGGTTGTTGTGCAGCTGGAAGTTATGTCACAGGTATTTCAAATGCCAACAGGGTCACCCACAGAGGATGGGTTTTAGCAGAGCTTCCACACTAGAAAAAAAGTCAGGCGCTCTCCGACAATTAGTAAATGGAAACACTAGGGGTCACAATAGAATATTGTCTGATCTAGGACTGGACATCCAAGTGTGGCCTTGTGGGATAAAGCACTGGACTGCAAGGTCAGTTAGAACTGCAAGGTCAGCAATTCAGACTTGTGAGCCGCTCCTCAGAAACCCTATACAGGGTTGCTATGAGTCAGAGTCGACTTGCGACACTTAACAACAACAATATAGGACCGGGCAGCATTTCTTTCTGTTATACATGAGGGTGCCATCAGTTGGGGCAAACTCAGTGGTATTTAACAATATCTATGTGAGTCCTGGTGTGGCATTGTGGGTTAATGCACTGGACTGAAAAGTCGGTTTGAACCACAAGGTTGGTGGTTCAAACTTACTAGTCAGTCCTCGGAAACCCTATACAAGGTCGCTATGGGTTGGAACTGACTCAACAGCACAAAAGCCTCACCACCATCAATTCCACCATCTCCCTTCTTATCACCATCACCACCTCTACCATCACTCTTACAACCACAATCACTACTACCATCACCTCCACCATCACCTTCCCTACCATATCATGACTATTACCATCCCTACCATCACCTACACCATCACTACCATCACCACCTCTACCATCACTCTTACAACCACAATCACTACTACCATCACTTCCACCATCACCTTCCCTACCATACCATGACTACTACCATCCCTACCATTACCTCCACCACCACCACCTCTACCATCATTGTTACAACCACGATCACTACTACTATCATCAACACCATCACCTTCCCTACCATACCATGACTACTACCACCCCTACCATCACCTCCACCATCACTACCATCACCACCTCTACCATCACTCTTACAACCATGATCAATACTACTATCACCTCCACCATCATTACATCACCGCCTCTACCATCACTCTTACAACCATGATCACCCCTCCATCACGTTTCCTACCATACCATGACTACTACTATCACTTCCACCATCACCCTCCCAACCACCCCCACAACTACCACCACCCTCCTACTACTATCACTTCCACCATCACCCTCCCAACCACCCCCACAACTACCACCACCCTCCCAACCATACCATGACTATGACCAGCCCCTACCATCACCCTTACCACCAGCATCACTATAATGCCTACCAGTCCAGTGTTATTACCACTCCCCTCTGCACCCCAATTATAACTACTACCATACCTTCATCACCACAACCACCATGACTATCATCGTGTCTACTCATATCATCCTCCCCCTGCCCTCATCAGCACACCACCACTTTCCCTGTGGTATCACAGTGCTTACTGGCTTTACTGGAACTTCCCTACATAAAGTAGTCAGCATAGGACTCGGTGTCCTCTAGGCTGATTACATGATTGACACTATAGTTGTGCATTGCCTTTTTAAGTAAGTTACAGCAAAGTTGGAGTTCTGGTGTGGCACTGTGGGTTAATGCGCCAGACTGTAAAGCTGTTTGAACTGCAAGGTTGGTGGTTCAAGCTCACCAGTTGCTCCTCAGAAACCCTATAGAGGGTCGCTATGGGTCGGAATCGACTCAACAGCACTTAACAACAACAACAAAGAGCAAAGCTGTTCAAGCTTCTAAACAAGTTCAAAAACTCACATAGATTTCAATATTGGTGTTGTCAAGACCCATGCCATTTTCTAGGAAGATTAAACACCAGAACCATAGTACATTTTCTTCCTTATTTTGAGTGCAGAGCACAACCTTACACAACTGCAATGATGTCAATGCAGACACACCCACTGTTAAAACAAACAAACAAACAAACAAAAACCTTTGTGGGTAATTCTACTGGGCAAGAGAATGAGAGAGAAAGACTCAACATATAGGATAATAATAACACAGTCATTTTCACAATTCATGTAATTACAGCCTCAATTTGTCATCTGGGACTAATGGTGATGTGGCTGCAAGGGGCAATGCTAATAACAAAATTAATGGGTCAGGTGAACTGGGTGTCTCTCATGCTTAGAGGTAATCTGAACAAATGAGATTCTCCACCCAATGTCTTCACTCTAGGGACTCACCCTTCAGACTCCTGACTTCATTTGTCCAGACTCGTCTATGACTGTAGCGACACTCGTGGGGAAGACATCATTAGAAGGACTCTAACCTACAGTTCATGTAGTCCCTTAGAACTCCCATTCATGAGTCAGAGCCAGATGCTCCCTGCAGGTGCTGAGTTGGAGGAATGCCCTGCCATGGGGAGGAGGGTCCAAGTGACCGTGTACTGGCCTCTGCCTGACTCAGCCAAGCTGAGTTCAATGCTGCCTCGGAGTAAATACACTTACCATCAGAAAAATGTATCTAAGACTTCTTGGGTCTGGAAGAGTTCTTAATAAGTCATTCAGTTTGTCTATTTGGTTTCTCTGGTGCCCTACAACTCAATAATATCAAACAAAATACCCTTCATGCTTTTAAGATTCTTCTGCTAAGTGGGCCTGGGTACCTGTTTATAGCTTTGCTATTTGCACTCCAGTGTTGCCCGTGACTGAATCTGATCCTGCTCCATGAAAGTCGTAATTACTCAGAGTCTAATATTAGGAGTCCTGGTGTAGCGCTGTAGTTGGTGGTTCAAACCCAGCAGCTGCTCCTTGGAAACCCTGTACAGGGTCGCTATGCGTTGCAGCCACCTCAACAGCACTTAATACCAACAACAAACTATCAGGAGGAACCTGATTCTCCATGTCCATGTGGCAAAGAGGGGCATGGAATCCCCTGGCACGGGTCCGGTTAGCTACAGCAACTATGTTTTGAAAGCATAACGCCCCCTGTAGCAATAACTCCAACTCTAGCTTCTTGGAGGAGAATCCAAACAGAAGGGTAGAAAACTTGGTCATGAATGTGACCAGCAGTCCCCACCAGCCTAAAAGAGAGTTGTCCAGAGTGTAAGGTAAGTTACAGTGAAGACAGCTTATTAGAAAAGGTGAGCAGGATCTGCTGAAGGCAGTGGCCAAAGGAACCAATGAGGGCTTCTATGCAGTCCCAGCTGATGAGACAGGAGATTCAGTGAGTGTGATTGAGGTAAGTAGAGTGGGTTTAGACCAATGCCTTCTTAGGGGTTCAAAGGGCAATCCCTGGCTCTAATGAAACTTCTTGGTAGTTTGTCATTACTAGAGGCAAACCTGCCTGCCTCAACAGGAATCTGTGGATTTCCTTTAAATCTAATTGCTTTGTTCTTTTTCTCTTCCCTTCCTTCCTAATGGACAAGGCTAATGGTCCACCACCATCTTGAGATCCCCTCCACCATGGTCGACATCAGTGCTAACCCCTCTCACCAATTAGATGGAATATTTGGAGCTACACAAGCAAGAATGGTGATGGTAAAGAAAGGCTGAGGATAAAACGTGTTGCAAACATTTTCTTTCTTAGCTATTCTCAGGAATAAGATGCTCAGTTTATATACCACTAGCTTAATTGTCTCCGTTCCAATTCTTGGGAACACTATCAAGCTCTCAGGTGACCCAAGAGCTGTTATATCCTGTCATCCCAGCACTCAACCCCATCCCAGATCTAGTCGCCAACTCAGGGCGGAAGCACCTGATAAGCTCACCTGTCATGGTGTCTTTCCGGGAAGCATGTTCGCCTTTATTTCCGTGGTAAGTAGCATTGCTACCAGTAGATTCATAGTCTGGTTTCCTTTCTTTGAGGCTGATCATTTCCCGAGGTGAGGCTGGGGCACTTGCTAAAGAAAGCAAAGAACAATTTCCATTTCTCATTGCATGGCACGTCTAGCTTCTCACAAGAAGCCTTCAAGGTTGGTAATATGCGTCAAAACCTTCTCGTGAACCTCTTGATTTGGGGGGAGATTTTGCTCGTATCCTCACTCTATTTCCTTTACCCAGCGACATTTCGGGGTGTATTGCTAAGGGAAGGTGACCTGGAAGCAGATTACTTTAAAGTAAAATCCTTGAGGGAAAATGACTTGTCCAAAGCATCTAAGGAGTCTTGGTGTGGCGCTGTGGGCTAATGCGCCAGACTGCAAAGCCGTTTGAACTGCAAGATAGGTGGTTCAAGCTCACCAGCTGCTCCTTGGAAGCCCTATACAGGGTCGCTATGGGTTGGAACTGACTCAATGTCACTTCACAATAACAACAACAAAGCATGTAAGAATGAGACTGGTCATGGTTTCTTTTATGCGTTCTTTACTCTTCTTTCCCCATTCTTTTGCTGCCTTCTGCTTTCTCCTCCTTCCTTCCCTTTTAACTTCTTGCTGTTGTTATGTGCCTTGAAATTCGTTCCAATTCATAGCAACCATGTACAGGGTTTCCAAGAAAGAACTGGTGGGTTTGAACTGCTGACCTTGCAGTTAGCAGGCCAGTGCTTAGCCCACAGTACCACACCAGAACTCTTGCTTTAATTAGAGAAAGCATTACTCAGACTTAAGAATCCTTGGCTACAATAAATGCATTTATTAGGTGCTGTGTCTGAGGGAAGGGAAGGCAGTAACTCTCCATGAATGGTGGCCTGATCTCTCAGGGTGGGCTCCGGACAGTCTGCACAGAGAGCTGCTTGTCCTGGCAGGGCTTTAGCTCTTTGGAAGAATGCCCCAACAAACTCTAACCACCCTACCCCACAACCACTTGCTGGCGGTCGGACAGGAGCTCCGCCATCCTCTGCATCCCACTGCTAAAACCATGAAGGGTTCTCTGGGAAACTCCAGCACTCTAACAAAATTGGTACCCGAATAGAAGAGAAGCTGGATTTGGACTAGGAAACATACCAAAAGAGATTTAATTCTCTGGAAAAATCAAGTTGATTGCACAGCAGTTAAACAGCCCTGCCAAAGCATGTGCTAGAACAGAGGTGAACATGTGATCTACCATGGGTAAGTCTCTGTGCTAGTAGGAAGGCAACGAGCCAG